ATGCGTTCCTGCGTCCACATCTTGAACGGTAACCGGTGAAGGGCCCGGTTCAAGACACGCAGATCCAAGATTGGTCGTAACCCACCGCCTTTCTTAGGTACAATGAAGTAGGAGTTGTAAAACCCCGTCTTCATATCATCTGGAGGGACCGGCTCTATCGCATCCTTCGCCAGTAGGACTGCGACCTCCGCCCGCAAGACAGGACCATCGGCCGCCTTCACTGTTGTGAAGCGGATGCCACTGAACTTGGGGGGGGACGCCGGGCGACTGAATCGCATAGCCGAGCCTGACGGTTCGAAGGAGCCATCGAGACGGGCTGGGTAGCTCAAGCCAGGCTCCCAGACACCGTGCTAGTGGCATCAACGGAACTACAGGCGTACCCGCAGTGGGGCAGCGCGGAAAAACGCAGGGACCCGGCCCGGGCATCTCGTAGCCGGTCCGAGGCGGGGTCTGGTGTGTGTAACACTGACCTGCGTTCGAGCAGAGGGTGCGTGGGTAGTCCGTTGGTTCGTCCTCCCGATCCGCCCACTGCTGCTCACTGGCGAGAGAGGAGGGTGAGTGTGATATGCACTAGATCGTCCTCAACCCCCTGTCCCCTCAGGGGACCCAGAAATAGAGGAATGCTCTTTGTCAAGAATTTGGGTACCACCGACCGAGAGGTCAGTGGTGGAAAAAAATGAAAAGATTCTCCACCCGGCCCTCCTCCGGGGGAGGGAGTGGTGTGCTTACCATCTCCTGAAGAGCACGTCCCTCCACCTCTGGGTCGCCCGTCTCCGGGCCTCTTGCTCTCTCGCTTGCCACCAGGTTTGGCGGGGGCCTGGACGGGCGGGGCGGCTGCCCTGCGACCGGCTCCACGGCACAGCTTGCTGGAAGCCGCAGGAGCTCTGCTCTTGTTTTGGCGGTGGCAGGGGGGCCGCCCTCGGCGACGGCAGCAGCTGCACGCTCGTTTAGTTTACACTCGAAGTAGATTGGTCCCTCTAAGCGAGATCCCAATTTCGTCGGTCATCCGACGTGACGTCGAGAGTGACCGACTGAAAGGGAACAAGTAGATAGAATAGAAAAAATAGAAAGCTAGTGTTTGTTTGTTTTTTGTTGTTTTTTTAATAAAAAAATAAAAAAAGACAAATATAGATAAAGTAGAATTAAAATAGAATAGAAAGTGTTAGAGTTAGAGGGTCAAATAAAGGTAGAACAGATTCATTTATTCATTCATATTTTATTAGATTTTTTTATATTGTCATTTCTCAAATTGTTAGAATTTTGTCATTTTTATTAGTTTTTTCTATTTAAATAATTCAATTTAACGTTTTTATTTTATTAATTTTTATCTAGTAATTTTAGTACTCTATCTATCTATCTATCATTCTATCTATCTATCGTTCTATCGTTCTATCTTGGTCAAAATTTTGTTTTGACAGAACTGCCTTATGCTCACCAAGGCTGCATTTGTGTCATATTCTTCGGATATTTTTTAAATATACAAATAGTTAATTTTTTTTTTTAAAGCTTTCGATTTTGTCACATTTTTAGTCACTTCATCTCTCATTTTGCTGTATTTTAACATATTGAAATTAGTCATAATAAATGAGTGTCCAACCTTTTGACTGATAGTGTATAATGCAAAAAAAAGCATGCATTGAGTAGAAACGCAATGTTTACCCATAGGAGTGACCAATGAGGATGTTCCGTTTTCTGGCGTATCTCTTAAATATGGCACGCAGGTCCTCGGCGAGGGCGTAGAAGGTGTACGCCGCTGCTATCTGAGGGGCAGTGCTGGCGCCATGTCCCGCCAAATCCGGGGCGATGACCTCGTAACCCAGCCGCGAAAAGAAATCCAGCTGACTCCCCCAGATGTCCAGCGAGCCACCCACGCCATGGATGAAGAAGAGAGCCACGTCCGAATGTGTCCCCTTACAGCTGCTGATGCAGCGCTCTGTATCAATCAGCACGGTGCGCTTGGGTCTCCGCCGCCGGCGTCTGGGCGGAGGAGCTGGCTTCTGCTGGTCTGAGGTGGGAAGCGGTGGAGCGGGTTTGGGATCCGGGGACGAGGGGGCGGTGGTGTAATCGGACAGCTCCACCTCCACTGTGCTGCACTGCTCCACGTCTCCGTTCTGACACTGCAGGATCTCGGAGTGGAGGACGTCGCCCAGGTTCTCGATCACCAGCTGGCCGTTGCGGTACACTGTGATCTTGCGCTTGCAGTGGACGCTGCTGCCTGCTTCTGGCTGCACTTCTGTCGTGGCAGGCCGTTCGGGGAGGATGTGGCGCACACGCAGCACACGACCCGGCTTCACCTCGACCAACTCAAATCCGTCTGCAGGCTTGCCGTCTGATGATTCAACCGGCAACACAACGCTGGTCGTCTTTCCCATCAGGCAGCAGAAGATGCTTTCTGTGATGCTGGTCAACATGGCGCTACTTTACCTGAAGACATACAGATACACACAGTCTGCTTAGGCTCAACCTTACATCTTTCAAATTACAACCATTTCCTGAGTTTCATAAAATCTAAATCGAGCCTATTTACATTCAAGTTCCTGGGGCCAGATTCATGAAAATCGTAAGAATCGCATGATGCGATTTAAAATTTTCCCTTCTCTTTGGAGTGTTACAAGCTCTTGGTGCATAAAGAAGATCTGTAAAGTTGCAAAGACTAAAGTCTCAAATCCAAAGAGATATTCTTTATAAAAGTTAAGAGTCAACCACGCCTACCTAAAACGCCTCGTTCTAACACGCCCCCACATATCTACCTCACTATGTGGGAATATTTGCATAATGCCGCCCAAATGTTCATGCAAAGAAAGAAGGCATAACTTTTATTCTCGCTGTAGTATTGTTGTTGCCGCCGCCGCCATGTCGTGAAGGCGCTGTGTGTTTCGTTGTGAAAACGAAACTACTTTGTTGGCCTTCCAAAAGAGGACGATATCTGCTTCGTCATGCCTAGAGCTGATCCGTGCTGGTCGCTGAGGAAATACATCAACTTCACGCTGTGGATCACCAGATCGGCTTTCACCATGGAAAAAGCGGAGTCCAGCACAGGGTCGTCACATGTGATTGCCGCAAGCCCGCCGGACACTCCTTCGTCGAATCCGCCGGCCGCGCCGTTCTCAAGCCCGCCGCCTCTGCCTCCCTCAAGCCGGCCTCCACTCATTCTAGCCCGCCGTGTGTTTCGTTGTGAAAGCGAAACTA